GAAAATTTGGACCACGAGTAGAAGAAACTCTTTTTAGACCTATTAATGTTTACATTGCGGCTTCAAAATCCGGAAAACTCACAAGCCAACATTTCAAAAACTGGTTTGAAGAAGTATATTTACGAAATACTGGAGAAAAAAGTCTACTACTGCTTGATTCATGGACAGGACATTGTCCGGAACAATTAAAAGAATTTATACCAGCAGATAAACAAGTAAATATTTTAACAATACTAAAAAAACAACTGCTTATATACAACCTTTAGATGTTTTCGGTTTTAGAATTTGGAAAAATTTTGATTGATGTTTTTCTGATAATATTATTTTAAATAATTATGACATAAATTTACATTCACGTAATAATATAATAAAACTACAAAGTTTAACACATAATCAACTTTCTTCTCCAAGATTTCAAAATGTATTTAAATATAGTTGGTACAAAAGTGGATATTTATCAACGCGGCCTGAAAAGTTTGATAATCCAATAAATATTTGTTATTTTAGAGAAGAAAAATATATACCAAGATGCAGTATTTGTGGTAAAATGGCTCTTATACGTTGTGCATGGTGCAAAGAATATTTTTGTTTTGAACATTTCTTTGAACAATATCATTATTGTAACAATTACATAGAATAAATAATAATTTGATAATTAATTTAATTTAATTTTAAAATTAATTTAATTTTTGTTGATTGGAAAATTTTATAAAACATTTAAACTTTTTTCATATATTATCTTTTTACATCTTGAATTAAAATTTAATTTGCAAAATATTATTTTAAAATTATAATATTAATTAATAATTTAATATTATTGAAATAATACAAGACTCCATCCTGTTTTTTTTATATTATTATGATACAATGTATATAGTATAGAAAGATTATTTACGTAATTGGACTACAAATATTATTACTAATATTCAGCATCATTATCGTGTATTGCGAGACCTTATGAAAAAAAGAAAAAAGAGATAAAACGTCACGAAATAGCGAGCGAATAAAATTAGTATAGGTAGCGTGCGTCTTTATTTTATTTCTCAAGAATTAATTTCCGCAACATAACTTTATCATACCTGGTTGAATTTGGCGTAACATAAGCTTTAATACAATTTAAAAATTTTTTCAAAATATCAAATAAAAATATTGAGTGGTGGGGGTATTTCGAAAAATTTACCATTTTTTAAAAATCCATATACGCCATTGTAAAGTACATTTGAAACCATAAAACTTTTGTTTAAACAATTTTTTCATATTTCTTTTTGTTTCAATGATATTCGCTTCGGAATGTAAAAACCGATTTTTTCTAAGGGGTTGTTTTCACCCCTGAAACCGATTTTTAGCACCAACTAAAAATCGTTTCGTTACTACTACTCTATAATTATGCAAAGTTTCAGATTTTTTTGAATTTTCGCGTTGCCGAAGGTTCCTTGTGAGTCTGTAATTAAAAACTTTCTTCCTGAAATCCAGCTTGCTACTTCGCGGATACGATGTATGTTGTTAATGGAAATGCTTCGTCCGCTAGCAACACATAAGGCAGTGTTGGTCCATTAATTTTGATAGGCTTAGCATTTGGCAACTTCAATGTACCTTCTTCGAAACATCTTCCCATATTACTATTTCTAAAAACTCCTCCATCACTCTGTCTACCTTCAGCACCGATGTCGACCATAAAGCGATTTCGCATCGCTAATCGCCAACAGATTGATGCTGTGATATCCTTTATAATTGTAATGCGTCAAGCCGCTATGTGGCATAGCCTGTAACCAAAATTACATATGTATATAATTTTATTACTAGTCGTACATTAATAATGAGAGGTACTCCACAATAAGTACGAACCCACATTCTTCGACTAACACTTTTTTTGGTAAATTGGTCATATAATAAATATATAGTATTAAAGTTATATTTACCAAAATTCATAATAAAAAAACATCTTTCAATGTACCTGCAATGTAACGTTGTTCAAAATCGAAACGTTGAATCTAATCGATCGAATTCAACGGCAAGTTTCACCGACAAATTCAAACGACAAAGAGACAACATCAAAACACGAGCGTGGAAAAACACCGTCGATCAATCGATTGGCTCGTGATCGCGTGATAATCGAAATGAAAAACTGTGACAAACAGCTAGCTCTCGAAGGTTCGACGTCGAAAAACCTTGTTATTCCCATCGGCAGAACGCGAGTTTCCGCGGTCGGTCGATTTAGTCTGCCTACGACAACGATTCGAGCCGGTCGAAATTCATCGATCTTTCAAATTTGCATTTCGCTTATTCTCGCTCGTGTCGCGTACGCAGTAGGCTTACTCGTCTCACAATCGTTCCGAATTGTTTCACATACGATCGCGTTCATCTTCTCGAGGCGGTCAATTCGGTAATATCTCACACCGTACTCTTTACTTTCTTAGTGCTAAGATATTGTGAACTTTAATTGTTTGGAGTCCGAGAGTCGACGTTCGTTACCCGCATCGCGAATGTCCTCTGCCTCGCGCTAAATTCCATCCGGCGTCCGCGTGCAAGATATCCGTTCTCGCGAGAGCCTCTAGCAAGAAGCTCTACAAAATTTCCGCAACGCGTCAGAGGCAGTAATTAACAGGACATTTTGAAGATTTCCATCGGAGTCGCGGAATACGTGCCGTCGTTCGCTCCTATTATTCTAAATTAAACGAATATTTAAAACAATCTGCACTCGAGTTTTTTCTCAAATCTCCTTGTCCTCCAGCGGATTTACGGATTCGCGTTACACACAGCTTCTTGCTCATCTCTGAGCGTTTCTAAAGATTCGGGCGATCTCGTCGAGGTCGACTCCCGAACAAACGTGCTTTCCATCGATACATCCTACACAATTTGGATAGTTCCAAAATCGCTCAAATTTGTCAGCAATTTTTTGCCAACTCTCTGGATTGTCATGAAGAAAAACTGTCTCCTTCAAAGCATTCCATATTTCCTCGCAAATCTCTGATATTATCTTTGACATAGTATTATTGCCAATTCGGTAGGCATATAAGATCGATACCATGCTCCTGATGCCAGATATCGAACCGTAATATGCAAACGCGTTTCAGGAGGAATTGTATCTCGAATTACATATTGTTTAACGATGGAAGGGCCGACTAATTTGAGTAATTTTTGGAATATGATAGGATCCATTCGAAAATAATTGACAAATTTTTCTTTGTCTTCAATCTCCATTTCTTTCACGAGATTGTCACTCGCTCCTTGTAATAATCGCCAATGTAAAGTAAATATAGGTCGCACCCAAAATTGTCGCTTTTTTTTAGATTGTTCTTCGTTTACCACAATTGTGTACAGTACATACAATTGGAATATTTTGCGTCGTAATTCTTCTTGACAAAAAATACTGTAACTTCGTTTAAATTTCTTCACTAAACAAATAATAGCTAATAGCACAGTTTCGGAATCCATTCTTTTCTGCTAGAAAAAGAACAAGAGATTATTGGAACAAACTTATAAAGTGCAATAGGAATGGAAATAAACATTCAAGAGATAATATATACACACTAACCTAATTTAATATACCAAATTTTATTTATCTCTATTTACTACAAACTATTTTTCACAATTTTTTTTATTAAACTTTTATAAACACCAACAGCAATTTCCAAACTTTTAACTTTTTTTACTTTATTAATATTTGCAAACAACTGGCGAAAACTTTACTTTTTAGGTGCATGCGTGCTTGTGTGCGTCTGTTCAGTACGCCGGAGTTTCGTTCCTACAGTCCCATGGAGCGGATTACGCGGAAGCGGATTCAGCGGATCGCTAATCACAGGACTGCTTTGATGTAATCTTTGAAAGGGATCTAACGGAACAACTCCGTGATCGGCGATCCGCTGGATCCGCTTCCGCGTAATCCGTTCCATGGGACTGTAGGAACCAAACTCCGGTGTACTGAAAACAGCAGATCGTCTGTGATTGGTCGCAGAGTTCGATACGCCCGATACGCGCGTATCGCAATACGCGCCATGAGACGGCACCCTTAGGGTGCGAACCTATGCAGCGGAATAGCGTAAAGCCCGTATCAGACTACGCATTGAAGATTGAGGTTGAAGATTCAAGATTGAAATTTGACCAATCAGGACAAAGAAATTTTAGTCCCTTTTGTTCTGATTAAATTTTGGTCAAATTCCAATTTTTAATCTTCAATCTTCAATTTTCAATGTGTAGTCTGATACGGACTTAAGGCTCGCTGGAAATATTTGCGAGATAATTATGCAAAAGCTCGCAAAAAAGTCAAAGGTTACATTCCCAGTGGATCGACAGCCAAAGCTAGTGGACTAAAGAAATCTAAGTTCAGATTTTATGACCTCATGACATTCTTGAACGACTTTCTTGAGACACAGCAGTAAGTTCTTTCTTTTCAATATGCAAAAATGTATCATTTTTTTTTTGTCAATTTGTCAAGGCAAATAGATATAGAAGACAATTTTTCATGTTCGACACACTCACATAAGATGCTGTATGAATATATAAATATATATTTATTACAGGACTGTGAGTTCATTGCCAGACGACGCTGAAAGCGAAGTATATAGAATTGCTGAAAGTGAAGTATATGGAACAATCGAGCAACACGAGGATGATATTGTTGCTTCATCTTTGGAGTTCACCGATATTTCTTCTCAGACACCGACTACCACTCATGCTTCTCTACCGGTACTGACTCCCACTTGCGTTCCCCTCCACAAACGTCCACACCAACTTTCATTCCTCTGCACACCTCGACACCCAAAAGCGTCTCTCTACAAACGCCGCCAACTTTCAGTGTGACTTCGCGAATATCAGCCACAAATTAGAGAAGTTGGTAGTTTGTTAATATTTTTTTCCTCCTGTTTCCTTTGACGATAATAACTTTATATGTATCAAAATATGTATTGCTACAATAACATTGCTACCTTGTTTTCAGGACCGTTGCAAACTGCTGACTATTATTTGAATGTACTCAGACAAACCTCCGCAGCCAAAAGTAAGTCATCGCAATTTAATTTGTTCAAAAATATCTAATATAGCAACGAGTGAATATGAAGCCTCTAAATATTCATTCATTCTCTCAATGACGACCACTACACCATGCGTATTCCGGATTTATTTACTTGCCTGCTATGAGTAGAAGTCAAAAAAACCAACGAGCCTCTATTTTTCATTGGCAGTAGAAATGGATTAATAAATCTGCGATTAGTTCCAGTTTACATAGATTTATTATATTAATAGATGTTTTAAGCCAGTGCTCGGAGATAGTTGCGGGCCGATATGTGAAGCGACGCCTACGGTCCCCCCACTACCGCTCGAGGCTCGACGGCTGAGCCGCCGATCGCGCGCGTAACGCTATGCCTCAGGAGCGTCTAGTCCACTGCAATTAGTCAAAAATAGAGTTAAACTGCGGAATAATTAATATAAAAGCATATAGTGTTTTTTTAGCTATGTTTTGGTGTCTTGAATAAAGCCTCAAAAGTCCCCAGCGTGGAAGTATACGCTAAGCATTTGGCAACAATTTAAAGGGCTAAAATTCTACTCCAAAATAAATTTTCGTGAATATCTCGATTTCTATCAAATTTACGAAAAAAACATGTCATATGAAATAGAAAGCTAAGAAAATTTTCTAGAAAAAACATAGAGGGTCATTTTTTCGTATAA